GATCATCATATGATCATATATGGTTCTCTCTATGAAAGAAAATGGCGTCCGGGGATGGAAGAAAATGAAAGAAAATGGCGTGTATCAGAATTTTCCATTAAGTGTTCCAACTAGGATTGTCAAATGATCATATCCGGTTCTCTATGAAAGAAAATGGCATGTATCGAAATTGTCCATTAAGTGTTCCAACCAGGATCGTCATATAATCATAATTACCCACTAAGTGTTCCAACCAAGATCGTCATATGATCATATTAAGTTATCTGCTTGATTATCATATGATCATAATTGCCCAGTAAGTGTTCGAGCCAGGATCATCATATGACTATATCCGGTTCTCGTCATATGATCATAATTGTCCATTAAGTGTTCCAACCAGGATCGTCATATGATCATATCCGGTTTAGGTTGATGAGGTTGGCGTGTATCGAAAATTGTCCATTTTATGTAAAAAATGCCTTCCAAAACTGTGCAGCCCAGCCCATCCGATGGACAGACCCATTTACACATATCACTACACTTATACTTTTGTCCTCGCTTCGTATGAAAGTATTAGCTCTTATAAATTGGTTACAACCTTGCCAATATAAATTAGAAATGTGGTATTAACCATACACACAAAACTCTCATGGGCCACATAGGCCAAAACCTAAATGGCCCAGGAAATGGGCCTATAATGCGGATGTCTACTAGTTTTTCAAAATGAAATTATACACATTTTCAAGCTTGGACAATAGACAAAACATGCATGAGCATTTTCCTGAGAGAGCGCGGTGGATTGTCAAATTTAAATGGAGGCCAACTAGCTAATAGCAGTTGCATGTCAACTAGTTTCATAGAACAAGTAACGATATATTCATTCCTTCCTATTGTTTGAAACAAGGGCTAATGTTCCCATCTGAGCTACTAGAGATATTATTCATCCGGAAATCACCATGCATACAATCCAACTGTTCGACTCATGTACGGAAATTTGATCAACGGTTATAAACGACTATAGTTCATATGAATATTCTTTTCTTTAATTGATCTATGATTGCATATCTCTAGTTGTACAACTGGGTGTGGTACGTATTGCAGTACCCTATTCATCCAGTGCGTGTAGGTGTTGTCGTTCAACAGGATTTTCTTCCACCAAAAGATATACTTGACCCAGTGTTTGATCCAGTGTGGTTTTTCTTCCTGAAGCCTCTGGCTTCAATCGCTATTTCTACATGAAAATTAGGAGTGTGAATTTGTTTTTTTAGACATACAATGAGATGACCTCAAGGCCTTTTCTACTGCAGCAAATATTCCACTGAGAAGCATGAAACTCCACCAGAAAGCAAACTTCGTAGCGATCTTCGGTGCAGCGAGCAAACTGCTTCGCAAGTTTAGATTAAATTTGATTTTCACTCGTTGTAACAAATATAACTACCACATATAAGTCGGTGCTATAGGTGCCAGAACAGATAAAACTGACATCCATAGTGCTTTTCCCCCTTCAAAAGATGAAAAAAAAAGTAAAACCGGTACCTTTAATACACTATAGATGTCGGTTTTACAGAAGAACCGCCACCTACACTATAGGTGCCGATATCTTATATATTATAGCTGTTATTTAATTAAAAACTGACATCTATAGTGTATTAAAGGTACCAGTTTTTTTAGAAAAACCGACAACCTATCAAACGAGCCGAGCCAAGAAACGGGCTTTTTTTTTCTTTTTTTTGGACGGGGATAAAACGCTGAGTGGGAGGTGAGGTGGCGTCTTTATCCACTCGCCCCCCCCCCCTCTCCTCCTCTGACGCGTCTCTCTCTCTCTCTCTCAAGCGGGGGCAGCAGCGGGCGGCGGCGGCGGGCTCCCATGGGCGACAGCATCGGGTTCCCCTCCGCCAGATTGGGCGGACATATTGTTGATTGTGTGCTGCTGATGTGTTGTTGTTGTTGATTGTTGATTGTTGTAGATTTTTGGATGTTTTTTGGTTCCTTTGATGCATCCGCTCGGCTCAAATTGACCCGACCTGGATTTTTTTTTTCAATTCGTATATCTATTAGTATTCTAATCAGTGCCGCCTTGGTGGCGTCGGTTTGAAAAATCGTCATCTTTGTAGCGTTCCCAACCGGCACCAATGACCTTTTCAGTGGTAGTGTATGGAGATATGTTAACTAGCTAGTTTCGGTTTAATTGATTATTTTTGTTATTACTCATAGAAGTCGAATTTAACAGTGCATATTTATGAAGTGATATATCTTATATTATTTATTTTTGTTTTTTTAAAAAAATATGATTATTCAAGTAGCATGCACGAAACAACAGAACGCACCCTCAAGGGGTTGAAAATCCATCTGTGTGGTGTAAGCAAATTAAAGATAAATTAGGCTCTCTAGTTTCTCTAGCAAGTTTGTGAAATAGATATTTAGAGTGTGAAATTTGAAGATGCTATTGGTGATGCATTAAAGCATATTGGGACGGAGTAGTATCTATCAATTATCTGACATTGATAGCTCGTAGTAGTGTGTGGCGACACCCTATTGGCCACAGGTCAGTGGCGATCACCTTATCTGATTCGACGGGTCCTTCTGTGTAATTTTTCCCCCTTCTCTTCAATTCTCTCGTGTCGTCCCATCTGCCAAACTCGCCTCTCTTTTAGATTGTCCGCATTATGGCGAAGAAGACGACGTTATCATCTTCCCAAGATCGCAAGAGATCGCAGGCAACAAACGCGGACAGCTCCTGTTCGGGGCTCGCCGTCGCCGTCGCCGTCGCGTCGTGAACTCATCAGGCGCCCAGCGCGGGGCCATTGCGCGCGGACTTTTGCGTACGTCGGCTCGATGCGCCACCAACGGTGGCCGCAGTGGCCGCCCCAGAACTGGAAATGGCTGGAAGAGGAAGCGAGCTCGAATTGGAAATGGCGGGAAGAGGAAGACGGAGGTGGGTGTGATTGGGTTGCAGGCGGGGCGATCGTGTTGAGTGGGATATGGTGGCGTTGGAGACGATGGGGATTGGGAGGAGCACCAGCGGCATGAGGTCGTGTGCCTCTCATCGTCATCATAAGTTATTTTCGATTAAATATGGCAGGTGTGCACAAACAGCATTGTACATGCACCTAACATCACGCTCACGTCATTACGAACGTGTCTCTAACACATGTTTAAACAGACCGAAAATACTGGCATATCCTTAACTTCTGAGGTAAATCATTTTTTAGTGTAAAACATAATACCTCCGGTACCGGGAGATACGAAAATTTGCACTCAAAACTTTTGTTGTGCTTGATATATAACTCTCAATGACAGTAAAATTCCTCATCTACATATACATAATATTTATGGACACAAGAATATAAACTAAGGTGGGTGGAATCATGTACATAGAACTCTACCACCATACCACTGTTCCTTCCCTCTTAATGCTTAAAATTTAAATACTGAAACCTAGTTTTAGGATTATTTTTGCATCATAATTTATTTTGTAGCATTGATACTTAAACATATACTACCTCCTTTTCAATATATGATGTCATTGACTCTACCACCATACCACTGTTCCTTCCCTCTTAATGTTTAAAATTTAAATACTGAAACCTAGTTTTAGGATTTTTTTTTGCATCATAATTTATTTTGTAGCATTGATACTTAAACATATACTACCTCCTTTTCAATATATGATGCCATTGACTTTTTAAAATATGTTTGATTATACGTGTTATTCAAAATTTTTCTGCAAACATAAAAGATTATAAGTCATGCTCAAAGATCCTTAAATGAATTTTTTTTGTTGTTGTAAAATAAAGTGTGATTGATTATTACTTTGTGATTAACGATTGGCATTTGACATATTTGGGTTTTGATATTTGGAGACAATTAGTGAAGTGGGTTGTTGACTATATATGTGACCGGTCAAACCGGATAGGCTAGGCTCGTCAGACTCCATTAGACCAACCGACCCAACAGTTTGTTCGGGCGGCTCTATGTTGGTTTCTGTTTAAGTTGTTTATTTGGATACTCGTAATTAATTCATGTCTATGACTTCTAGATGATTTTTATACGTATGTAATATTGTTGTGATAATGCTGAGTCAAGTTGGAGACAATTTATGCTCGAATATGGTTTCTTGTATCATTCATGTGTAGGTGTGTCTTGATGTTTCGGGGGACCGTTGCTTGTGATGGATCGTGAGTCAACTTGGGAGAAGATAACATTCTGACGATTAGGATATCTTGCAGGATGCTTAGACTACAAATCAATCCTCGTGGTTGGTGAAGATTCCATACGGCATACGATGGAGATATTGTGTGCGTATGGATGCGGAGTCAAATTTGGTAAGTCCAAATTTGGTGTGATTGGAGTTTGTAAAATTTGTTTACTGTACGGAAAGTTGGGTTCGTGGCAGTGGCGAATCTAGGATGAAAATAGAGGGGGTGCTTTGTTCAAATGAGAGTTTCGGGAGAGCAGTCGTCTAGCTTATCAGACAAGCTATTAACGTATGATTACTTAAGCGCTGACTATTATAAACTTTAAAATTTGATTTTTGATGAAACTTCTTTATAAGATCTGTTTTGAAAAATCAGAAAGTTTAGCGGTTTGACAAGCACGCCCACAAAAAATACCAAAATAAAACTCTAAATCTCAAACAATAGGGCCTAAAGCTAGTAAACTATACTACTCCATCTAAAAAGACCAATCCTGACAACAAATCTGGACACGCGTGTATTCAGATTCGTACTTAGAATTGGTTTTTTATGGGACGGAGGGGCACAACCAATCTATTGTGAATCAAATTTCTGATTTGTACGAGAAAGAACTCAAAATAAAGAATAAAAATATACTAGGTATGATAGCTATAGTTGGCTGTAAATATATATATGAAAAATGGTTCCATGTTCTTTTTTTTCATTTTTTATTTGGTTGCACTTTCAATAAAGCAACCAGTTAGATAAATATATATGACCAAAGGCAGGCAGTAGTGCTTCCCTAGCTAACCAGCTACGTGATGACTCACTAGAGCACGTACTGGATGGATGCGGATAGATACTTGTTACATATGGGCTATATATGGCCGGCTGGAACTGGGGGTGGAGCCCCAACGATGAATCCGCCGCTGGTTCGTGGCTTTAGGCTATCTACCTTGGGTATAATTAGAGGAGTTGAAACCTTCCAATATCAATTTTGTAAGAGTTGAGTTTAGAGAAAAGTTAAGGTTTCAGGTGTTTATGTTGTTGTGTTTTGTAAACATGAATAAAAGTAATAAAGAGAGATCCTGGATTTTTATTTTCCTAGGTGCAGTTTTCTAACCGGCGGAACATCGGCAGTCAAACCGACGACTCCACGGCGGTCAGAACGGTTGCGGCGACAGGCGACGATAGCAATATCGGACGGTTAGATCGAAGCTACTACATCGGTCAGACCGGCGTATCTATTCCGGTCAAACCGATCTCCATCAAAACAAAGGTTACTTTTAATTCCGTTAAAAGTTACAATTTTTGCTACTCCAACCATTCAAGCTCCCTCTGGTTAGCTTAGTTCTTTTTGTGCGATCCGACAGTTGTGAATTGATTTTCATTAAAGTGAGCATGACTTACAATTTTTATCTTCAAACATATACCGAAAAGTTAAGGAACGCCATATTTTAAAAAACAAAGTATAAAATTTCCATTCATAAAATATTTTTTATTCTTTTATTTATATTTTGTCACGTCTTATTAGCCTTAAGTCAAACAATTAGAGCAAGATATGGTGGTATGAGGTGGCGGGAGAAAATTTAGATCCAGACAAATAAAATCAAGAAAAAAAATGATCAAAGTAACGCTGACAGAACTAGGTGGAAAGACCAAACAAGTCCTCGTAAAAATTATGAAATAATTAAAAGAAAGTCCACACAAGTCCCCACAAAAATAAGAAAAAGAAAACGGAACAAATATTCAGGAAAGAAAGTACAAACCCTCACAAAAAGAAAGGATATAAAAAGATCTGAATAAAAGAAGAAAAATATTCTCGATAAAGAACACGAGAACTCACAAAAAGAAGGAAAACCATTTAGAGAAAATAAAGGGAAAGGGAGGGCTATCTAGGAATCGAACGCCAAGACTCATCAAAATGAGTGTACTTGTTTGTTTTTGAGATAAAAAGGTGAGTGTACTTGGTTTGGTAGCAAAGTCGCCAAAACAAGACGTCCAACCAAGCATGTCTAGCTGACTAGCTCCCTATATATTGCATTACATGCCACAGCGCCGCACCCCTGCGTGCGAGACGGCGTCGCGTCGCTCGCCACGACGGACATGCAGCACCTGCACGGCGACGTGCTCGAGTCGGCGGTGGAGCGCGTGCCGGCGCCCGATCTCGCCGCCGCGGCGCTGGTGTCACGGGAGTGGCTCCGCGCGGTGCGCGCCGCGCTGCGACGGCGCATGCTGCGGCTGCCGTGGCTCGTCGTCCACGTGATCCATCTCCGGGGCCAGCGGCGCCTCGCCGCGGCTTACGACCCGCGCTCCGGGGCGTGGCTCGCCGTGCCCACGGCGCCACCGGCGCGCCACGGCGCGACGTCGCCGCCGCAGCCGCACTCGCACGTCCGCCTGATGCGGGGCGCGAGCGGGGACCGCGTCTGCGCGCTCTCGCTCTCCGGGCTCGCCGTGGCGCGGGACGCTCTCGGGATGGACGACGACGCGCTCGTCGTCGCGCTCAAGGCCCCCGGCGTGTGGCGCGTCGATCCGGTGCTCGCCGCGGTGGGTGACCGCGTGGTCGCCATGGGCGGCGCGTGCCGGCTGGCGCTGGGTGACGGGGAGGACACCTCGGCCGTCGAGGTCCACGAGCGCGGCGGCTGGACGCACTGCGGCGCGGTGCCGACCGCGCTCCGGGAGTCCGCGGCGGCGGCAGCGACGTGGCTCTCGACGGCGGCGACGGATCAGAGAGTGTACGTCGCGGACAGAGCCACGGGGACGGCGAGCTGGTTCGACCCGGCGAAGCAGCAGTGGGGACCCACCTCCCGCCTCCGCCCTGACGCCACCGTCTCCACATGGGGCCTCGCCGCCGGCCGCGCCGGCGCCGAGAAGATCATCCTGTTCGGAGTGAAGCATGCAGACAGCCGAGTCGTCATCCGATCATGGGAGGTGGACGGCGACAGCCTCTCCCTGTCCCATGGCGCGGCGGCGGCGCACGACACGATGCCGAGCGAGATGTCCGAGAGGCTGTTCCCGCACGGCGACGACGGCGAGGAGGAGACGTCGTCGCCGTCGATCGGGGTGTGCGGCAACACCGCCGGTGGGTACGTGTACAATGCGGCCGTGCCGGCGACGGGCGCCGTCCTCTACGAGCTCCGGCGGGGCGGGGTGGAGGGCGGCGGCGTGGAGCGGTGGGCGTGGGTTGCGTGCGCGCCGGTGGTGGCCGAAGCGGAGGCGTTGGGACGCGTCATCCTCGCGTGTTCGCCGGTGGGGCTGCACGAGCTTGCGGACGAACGGCTTGCACACTGAACTAATAATGGCTATCGTGACATGTTGTCGATAGCCAGTTGAGCTTGTAATAAGCATATAGGGCTGTTACACTCTGAAAAATAAGTTTGGATACTCCCACCGGTTTTATAATAATTCTCGTTGTTTTGGACAATAATAACACGGCATATTCACTACATGACAAGTAAAAATCATGTGATTGGTTGACGGACATCGCAAAAATGTAGTTTATTGAATGCGTGGTACTCCCTCCTTCCCTAAATGTTTGACGCCGTTGATTTTTGTAAACATGTTTGACTATTCGTCTTATTTAAAAACTTTTATGAAATATGTAAAACTATATGTATACATAAAAGTATATTTAACAATGAAACAAATGGTAGGAAAATAATTAATAATTGCTTAAATTTTTTGAATAAGACGAACGGTCAAACATATTTAAAAAAGTCAACGGTGTCTAACATTTAGGGATGGAGGGAGTATATGCTTAGAGCTAACTATTGTATGCGTGGATTATTAGATTGGCTATAAATGATACGCCAATTTTGACAGCTAGAAACTGGTATTAAATCAACACATAACTATGACCTAAATTAATCAAATTTTGGGAACTACTCCTACATAGAGCGTAGAGCTAGACAAAATAAACCAAACGCTCCTCTAGTCCTGTCCACACCCAACGATTCCACCACCCTCTCCCTTTTTCACTACAACCACACCCATCCTCCTTATCCCGTTCAGTTTCTTCACTACCTAGGTTTCTTCGCTACCGTCCTGGTCAACAGGTGATGGTGGGACATGGGGCGGTGTGACCGGCCAAGGAAAAACAGTGTGACAAGAAGCGGGCCATGAGGCGGTGGACACCAGTGTCAGGAGGATGTAGCCCTCCCGGGTGGCAATGTTGAAGATGAGAGGGAGGACAGTGTGCTAGTTGGCGTTGGCAACCGGATCTTGCACCTCTCAATCTTGTATCCACTATAGACCGAGCTCTGCCCGAACTGCTAGCTTGACGAGGTGGAAGGCGGCAGCCAGATTTGGAGGATGGGATGGCCTTGAAGTGTTGCCCTGCTATCCTCATCTGCCCGATGCGATAGGGAGCCGAGGCGGTAGTTGGCTCCATGCGAACAATGATGGGCTCTAGGTGAACCAGGTGGCACCTAGGTAGCGACAAGGTCCTTGACATGGAGGAGCATCTCATGCTCACCGAGCGCAATCCTACCGAACCCCCTCGGCGTCACCTCCTATTGCTGGGGAGAGCAACGGCAACGTAAAGCAGGGAAACGTCTGCATGCTCGTCAATGTGGGTGTTGTGGGGGAGGCCGCTGATGTCAGATCTCGAGCAGGTGGAGCACAAGACTGAGGTCAGTGGTGACTTTGTTGTAATAAATGGTGGAGGCACCGGCTCGGTGGTTTGCTTCCTCGTCTCCATGGCGTCAATGCCTCTAGATGGTGCATACAATAAGAATCTATCTTACTGAAATAAGAAAAGTAAAAAACCATAGGAAATAGTGTCTCATCCCCACCTTCCAGCTAGTTAAACCAAAACCGACCCCCTCGCAGGTGGAAGGTGGGGATGAGTGGCTGCAACGGTGGTTCGGCCGACCACCTGGCAGCGCCATCTCCTTTCTCCTTCAGCCTTATCACTGTCCAATGGGCCCTTATGATGATGCATAGTGGTTGGGCCATTTTCAGGTGATTTATTCAGCTTGTGGGTAGGGGTGGAAACGAGCCGAGCCGAGCCAGGCTCGGCTCGGCTCGTGGAAGCTCGCGAAATGCCAGGCTCGGCTTGGCTCGGCTCGGCTCTCCAACCGAGCTGTACATTAGGCTCGGCTCGGCTCGTGGTCTGGCTCGAGCCGGCTCGAGCTGGCTCGTGAGCTTTGCAATAGCAGCAGTTGTATTGCCAGCAGCAGTTGTGTTGCTTTGCAATGACTTGGTTATTCAGATAATAACTCTCAAGTCCCTACAAAGATAATTAAGTATATTGTATGCAGCCAACATATAACAAATTGATGGGCTTTTTTGGTTTTCGGCCAGAAGTCTTTCTATTCAAACCGAGCCTACTAAGCTCGTGAGCTGCTCGCGAGCTGGCTCGGGCTCGGCTCGGTTCACAAACGAGCTAAAACCCAGGCTCGGGCTCGGCTCGTTCAGGATTCGAGCCGAGCCGAGCCAGGCGAGCCCGAGCCGAGCTTGAGCCGAGTTCACGAGCCCGAGCTATTTGTCCAGCCCTACTTGTGGGTACTCCAATGAGTGTACTCGCGTCTGATTGGTCGGATGTGTGTTTCTTCACATGACAGGTGGTTTTTATACAAAATTCCTGCATACACATATTGCACCAATACTTGTGGAAAATGATTAGTAATAACCACTACCACTAAGTTTGATGTATTATTTCAATTGTTGTTTTCCAGGAATTGACGATCATTTAAGGATGGTCAACATGTAGATGAAAGTTACATCTATCCAGGAGTCAATTGACATGTCCACTTTGACATTAGTTGCGCTTTACGCTAAACTTAAAACTCATGAGATGAATATTCTTTCTTGCAAAGTTGATTCTAAATATAGTTCTTTGGATTATTCTTCATCTTATTTTGATGATGCCTCTTCTTCATCGGCTCTTGTTGCTTGTACTGCCTTTAATGCCAAGTCCGATTATCAACTCGAGCTACTCGAGGTTGAGGATTTTGCTTTGCTTATTAACAAGTTGTCTCGAGCTACATATTGTTTGAGATTAACTATTGAAATTGCAAAACCAAAATATTTGAATCTTCTCTTATTCTTGGAGTTGCCTTGCACCCACACGCACTGTAGATGAGTTAGGTCATGTTGAGTACATGGAAAACATTGTGAAATCTGATGAAGTGCTTTTTTTCCCTAGATGTTGCAAACAAGAAGATATTAAGATAGATTATGAACATTGCGCTAAATTGACTTGGATGCTTTTTTACTAAAAAAGTTCTTTGGAAAAGTTTTGGATGGCAAGAAGAAACTTAACATGAATTTAGATCAATCTAAAGTGACTACTTATAATAGGGGTATAGGCTGTAAAATCAAGGAGTTTATTCAAGATTTTGTGTGATTAAACATTGGTGGTTTGCTATATTTCATCTGTGATAAATTGGTTTCTTGTGATGAGATTTCGGAGATTGATAAACGGTTGGTTTTTGTGAATTGGATGTGTGGTTGACCTGGGCGGTCAGATCGGCCGAGTGTTGGCGGTCAGACCATAGGTCTTGCAGTGGTTAGACCGGCCGGCCCGACGGTCTGACCGGCAAGGTTCTGCTTGATGTCAGTTTCGGGTTGTTCGTTATGAATAATTTCTTCATGGATTAGACTTCTAGATGGCTTCTATACATATGGATACCGTTATGCTAATATGATTTCTTTGTTGTTGCGTGTGCAAGTGTTGCTTAAGGCCTCGGGAGAGTGTTGCCGGTGATAGATCAGAGTCGACTTGGGAGAAGTGGATGTCTAGGGATCAAGAGATCATGCGGTATAGTAAATGCTAGAGAACAATGCACGTGGTGATGAAGGATCCATATGACATACAAGAGGAATTGTGTGCATATGGAAAGTGGAGTCAAATTTGGAAGAGTCTGAATTCAAGAAAATTGATAGAGATAAGGAAAGAGATGAGTTGGATATTTGCAAAAGACGGTTTCCCATGTGGTTGGGAGTCCTAATTGTTGTTAGATTTGTGGGCATTGCGTAGCCACATCGAGGGTATAAGTAGTAGATGTGTTGAAGCCTCTAGATAACGATTTTTTAGAGAGTCGAGTTGAGAGAAAAGTTAGGGTTTTGAGTCTAGTCGAGTTTTTGGTGAGTAGTGTTGTTGATGCACTTTGTAAAAACTAGTTGATGCAATAAAGTCGAGATATTCCAGTCTACATCTATGAGTTTTCATCTACTGGTGTTTTCTTGATCCCTACAGTTACACCGACAGCAAGGTACGGTCTAATCGACGGGAGGGCGGCGGTCTAACCACAGGTAGCGTGGTGGTCACACCGGCGGTAGGAGGGCAGTTCGACCGGCGGCTTCAGGACTTCGTCGCCTACTTCGTTTGAGGTAAATCTTTTATTCCGTAAAATATTTTGGGGTTTTTGGTTTCCCCTACCATTCACCCCCTTCTGGTAGGTTTGTTTGGCCTTGTTGCATGCTACAAAGGTTTTGATACTCACTATTTTTTTACTAAACATCAAACTATCTTTTTGAGCATAACTAATCAAGATAAAATTTTGACAAAACCTAAACCTAACTTTTGCACCGTTGGCCACATCAGGCACCAAAACCAAAACCTAAACCTAACTTTTCCACCAATCGAGATGTCCTAGAGAATGTTAGGCACCCTGGTCCAATTGGAATTGGGAGAAGTTGTTTTCTATAGAAGTGACTACGGATCGGGGGTCCGATTTTTTAGCTAAAAATCAGGTGCCTAGCTCAGATTTCGCTAGCGCATGCAGGTGCACCATGCACAGTCCATAGCATGCATCAAAAGCCATGCATCTGTACCAGAAAACAATAGTTAGGTTGGTTGGTTTAAGTTTCTTTGAATACACTTTAAACTATTTTTTCTCTTAAATTATTTCTCCAATTCATGATTCAGTTGCACCACTAAATTCTTTACAATTAAACCTTTAAAACAAAACCACACATGGTTATAATCCAATGAAATAAATATTTAGTTTTATTATTGAACTTTTTAAAATGTTGCACCTATTTCATTTAAATGTTTCAGCTAGAATTCACTATTTAATTTACAAATATTTTAGCAAGTATTTTATAATGTTCCAATAACTATAATTATAGTTTAGTGCTCATATGTGATATAAAAATATTTCAACAATACCAGCTTCTGTAAATATACTGTATCTCTGATATGATTTTTTTTTCACTCATTGGGACTCAGTGTTAAATATAAATGGTTGTTAGTGTTGCATCCCGTATTTGTAAATGCTGCATTTCTCTGAAGCATTTTATATAGTGAACTGAAACAAACTTCTATAAGGGATGAAACAACGTTCAATTTTTTATCAAAATATAATTATGTGATATCTTGATGTAGAGATTTAATTATAAGAAATACAATGGTGTAATCGTATTGTAGACCCGATAATTATTTTAGAAGAAAAACATTTAAAGAGGGAGAAAACGTACAAATGAGTGGAAATTCATAAAT